TAATCTTGAGACTCTGAGCTAACTCTAACAAAACCTGTTTTACTCGTATTTTCAGCATGATCAGAAATTCACGAACAAAATTTCCAACTTAAACTAAAGCTGGACCCGAAACCTGTAGACACCTGGCCGTGGTTAAATTCCAGCGGATAAGTGATTTTACTGATTTCGTCGATGTTTCCCTAAAGTTTCGCGACCGATCTATATGCTGAAAATTGTTTCTCAGGATCGAAACGGGCTATCGAGGAAAGATCCATACAGTACAAAGCTGACAACGTTCTCCTATGACAAGACGATCAAGAAATTCGAACTACGGGCTACCGGTCAGCAGATTCCTATCATCGAACTCGTTGGACGTGAAGGGCCCTTTTGGAGGCTACCTACACTGAGATAAGTAAAAGCTACCACGGCAGCTTTAGCCTTGACAGCTTAAGAAAAGTGTCCAAAGTTAAGAGCAAGAAACCTCTTCCTGTATCGAAAAATTCGACAATTTTTTGCAACCAGTTTAAGTACGCAAAATTGAATCTTGTTTAAAACAAAAAGCGTGAGAGCGAAGATTGATAAAAAGTTTCACTTCGGAACAGAAAATAGTTAAACAGCACTGTCGTACCTGCGTTTGAGAAACAACATCGAATGGGATAAGGAAAGGAGGCGAATCAATCATTCTCCACAATCGCAATCCAATCCCGGTTCCGTTGCATAGCGTTTCTGATGTGTCGTCGCTACCATTGTAACAAAACGCCTGAGAACTCAGGGCTAGGTTTCTTTCCGTATCTACCAACAACGTGGTAAAGAAACCATATTCAAAGTTTGATAAGTCAACAGTGAAGAGATTCTCGTAGCCATTAAGGTGCCTAAAATCAACAAAAAACAATACTGGAAGGAAGCAGCGCGTAAATACCCTATGCCGTACGCCCGAAATACACCGCAGTGCTGCAAAGTGTATAACTTATCGGACCTTAAAGAAAACATCTATAAAAACGCAAAACGCCAGTTACATCAAAATAATACTTAAGACCGTGATAACGCCGTGCAAAATACCTGGCTAAGTATCAGCTAATTTTTTGAGACATTTCAAACCCGCTCGAAAACATCAGACGACTAAAAGCCTAAAAATTATTTCGACATCTCAGACCTCATCAATATCACAGCGACTAAAACACCGGTATTCGCTGCGCTGCTCTTTCTGCTTCATGGTATTATTTCCTATCCATGCTCTCAATATGCCCGTCCATACAGGAAACTAGCCCACACTGGATGTAACATCAATGTCAATTCCTACACACAGGCATCCGTACAGGCTGAATTAGACCAAACCTTACACTCACGAAAAGTAAAACCCTACGCTAACTCGTATGCTATTTCATTTCAGAACAACACCTTAAAACGAAATGAAGCTAATTAACTACCCAAAAACTTCATTCGGGAGCTGCTTAGAGAGCAGGTCGACTGGAAGCTGAAGAGAAGGAACCGACATCAAGATATATTCCTCAGTGCAAATTGCAGAAATCAATTAATTTTGGTGATTTCCCATTTAAGGAATCTAAATGCAAGAAATCAAACGATTAATACTTAAGATACGATAAAGACTGTATGCAACCTGCCAAACAAGCAAGGCGTCCTCCCGTTTACAAGAAAGGAATTAACAAAAACGTGAGAAAGCAACAATGTACATTGTACGAATTACTCTTGAGGAAAAACTAAGAGAAAGTTCAAGGAAAAGATGTGAAAACCTATGACAAGCGTCGGCAGAGGATATAAGAAAATACAGATATAAACTAGTTTCGCTTCAGAGAAAGACTAAAGGTGCGCAACTCAGCTTCCACGCAGATCGCAGCACCGAGAATCAGACTTTAGGTCTGCATCATAGATCTAGAAAAAAATACAATTGGGGACCTCAACCAAAACACTGCTAGTACTGCAGAAATATGGAGTGAATGAGCACCTAATGGGCAATCAAACTACTATACGATTGCTCAAAGGTCTGTATCCACATCAATGACATGAAGACGACACTTTTCCAGGAACGTAAATTATATCCTCCACGGAAGATTATTGTTACCTCGACCGTTCATGACTTTCATGCACTGTGTTAGCTTAAACAGCCTAGGCACGAAGCCTGCACACGCTTGAGCAACGATGAACAAGATGCGATATACAAAACAGCTAAAACTAGATGAACTATGTGCATAATGTACGGTTTTGCCCATACAAATAAAGAGAGCTAGTTCATACGGTACAGCACAAAACCTGCAATCATAATATTGCGAACTCTAATCCCAACCGGGTCACTAATAATCGTAATTTAGGGTAAAAAATGCGGATGTCTAGGTGGGAATGAAGAAAAAAACTGCATGTTACAGCAGTAACTTAACTTTACCTGCGCAAAAAAAGACGGACTTCGGTGACAATATCGAAAAAGAGATTAGTACTGGAACATGAACTTCTTGAAAGAAAGTGGAAGGGCAATGTTCGTCACGATAGTATATGGAATATCAGCATTGTAATGGTTATAAACTTTCTTCCTTCTCCAAATAAATCAGTTAATACTTCGATATGACAACTACCAGGAACTTAAAAGACAGAATGAACTTTCAAATGACCAACTACGAGAAGTGCTTATCTACTAGGCACAGACTATAAATGAAAACGGACAAGGTGATAAGCAGCAGTCGTCTCAGTTGCTACGAAGTTCCTTGCCCTAATACAAATTCGTTCAATTAAGCAATTCGCGTTTTCAAACTATAACAGGTAAAATGCAATTTGGCTGAATTACATTCATTAACATTAACATACTTCCGACAAACAGATATGAAAAACGCCGGTGCCAGAAACACCGCTGGAGACGAGCAACACATTAGTGGCCAGCAAAATGATAAGCGACGCACGTACGCACTGTAGGCACAAAAATACTATGGAGCTTAGCTTATTTGAATGACTCCTAACAGAGGTGTCATAATTAATGTCAAGAAACTAGATCTAATAGTTATTAGGGAAAATAAGTCCCAGTTTTGACCTATGATAATATACAACAAATTTAATAAAGCTCAAAGAATGTAACGGATAAATCTACATAAGTGAAATACCATTGATTTCCATCTTTGAAAGGTTCGCAACAAACTGCCGCAACGCAACGACTCACACTGAAACCACTGAACTCTTCCTGAAATCAGTGAGCATATATTGGGAGGAAGCTGTAGATTATATAATCAAAATGTTAACAGTTACATCCAACGATTTTAAAGCGTACTCATTAAAAGTGCATCAAAACATTGCACAAAATGCAGTCGATTTCTCAACGTATCGAGCGGATCCATGTACCTAAAATTTTAGAAGATCCTTACCTAAGACCAAAAAAACAGTCACAATCCTGGCTCAAGGACCCTCACATTTGCTGGTAACATCAAACTGCAATAAGAACGAAATTTATTCTGAAAAGGGCCGCGAAACAGAACGAATTATCGGCAAATTAATCAGCCTAATAAACTTATTGAATAAAGTTATGTATCAACCATATGCAGTTCGGTTTTGCAGTGCGAAATGAAAGAACGAAGAAACTACTTAAAAGTTACAAATATTTACCAAGTGATGTTTTCATTCAATTCTTCCGATTCAATGACTGGCTGCATTCACTATAGTCCTAACTTCGACCAACGTCTTTGCTGAACACATATCAACCATCATTAAGGTGTGTATCATCATGGTTATCATTTAAACTCTGCGCCAAGGTCTGAATGAATTAAACTTATGATGCTTATATAGCAAGCAATTATACGATTTCAGGCATATTTCACTGATTCTGCGAAGACACTATAAACCGATTGCAGTTGTGTTATTCTTCAATATTCAATGCTGGCTCCATGAACACTGCGTTTCCCGTCTGAGTTCACTGAAAGGTCTGATAAGCCAGTGTTATCGTGCATTGACACGTGGTTCTGTGAGATCATGAAAATTTTCCGACCTATAGAAAGAATGCATCAGCATATGATTTCGCTGAAGATGGCACCGTTCAGTTCGCTACTTGGTGATACCAATCGCCAAAATATTCTGCAGACAATCGTGGTAAAAAGTGTTCAATGGAAATCGCGCTTTTTCAGCAGGCCCGCTGTCTCTGGGATATACAGTAGAATTTATTCCTAAACCAATGCTCCGTTGACATTGTTAGAAACGCGGTCGCTGTTAGCAGCCCGCCTGCTTAGTTCTGTGCAGAGTGGCTGTCGTTCCTGAGCGTTGAGCTTTCGTGCAGTGTGAAAAATTTTGACAAATCAATCATAATGACTGTAGGGCACAAATGAATCAAATTTAAAACGCCTAGATAGATACAAAAGGGTATGACGGACTGTTATAATGATACGGTTTCAATGACGAGTTACATCGTGTGCTGTAGTAACATCCACGCCAATAGCAGTTCTCAGCCCTGTTCAAGAGTGGGAGGAAAGTATGACTAAAGACTGCGGCGAAGTTTACGTAAAACTACAGCCATCCCCCATCTATGCTGGTACAACTAAACAGCCTCGCCATACCAGCCTGGACTGCGCCCCGGTTACAAAACATGGCATAGGCTGTTGGGGAAATGAAGTAGCCTATGCAAAATTCTCTGCCACTGAGCATAAT